CCCTGCTGTAAATTAACACAGCAAATGACATCATAAACATAATATTTTCAATTATAAACTTAATTATAATTGATTTCTAGCTGTTAAAAAGTTTTGACATACCAAATAAAAAAAATTCTTATTTGATATTCTCTAACTAAATCAGATGCAGAACATTTGAAGTAATTAATAAATAAGCCTAGAACTTCTTTTTTTACCTTTTTTAAAAATTCTTAGAATTGTTACCGTTTTCTCTTTATGGGAAGCCTGACAAGCTATATTCCAGTCAGCAGTATATATTCTCCTATGAGATCACCAGGGTTTCTCTCTTCCTCCTAGACTCCAGAGAGTGCATGAAAAGGTAGCTGGAGTCCTTTCAGCCCTACTTGCTTTAAATGCCATGTGTCCCAGGCAGTAGGTAATGTGCAAACATAGCATTGCATGCTGGATCCTCTGAGGAATTTATGTATGTATCTTGTGCTTATTCCAGAAAAGGGAAATTATCATCCTTTAATTGATTTGTATCAACTAATATACAGACACTGACCTAGACTCATCCCTGGGGGAGGCATTTCAGGGCATGGTTGGATGAGCTAGTCTGAGGGTAGATGATGGCAATGAAGAGGTACTCCCAGGCTGTCCTCAGCTACTCGTTGCCTGGAAGCTGGTGCCTCTCAGTTCTCCTGGGTTTAACAATGAAGGAGAGAGACAGCTCTTGACTGTGGTTTTTGTGAAGTGACCTGGATTATAAAAAGCAGCAGCAACAAAATAGTCAGAAAAAGTGTAAACCAAAAAAGAATAATTTATTAAATTGGAGTAAAAAATGTCAAGTGAGCAGGTGTGAGAGTTTAGCTCTGTCTGTGAGAGAAATGAGAACCTGCACCAGGAGCCAGGCAGCAATTATTCTGCTCACATCTGTCCCAACCAGAAGAGTTTCTGACAATGACTGTAGGAGTATTAGCTTGAGTTTCTCCAGTATCCAAAAATGAAATGGGTGTATCTGGAAGGTAGTTTGCCTGGATCTCTCCTGATCCAGTAAGTTAAAGTAGGTTGAATCCAGGCTGCACATTGATATTTTTGCTTCAAATGAATCATTGTCATTTTTCCTGAAACCACTTTTTGTATACATCATCATTTTGTTTTAGTCTTTCAATGCTGTGACTTATTCTGTGAATGTTCAATGAAATAAAAATATCCAGAGAATTGCTTAGATCTTTTAAACATCACTCTAATCCTGTCATTTCTTCTTAACAAATAAAATTCTCTCTCTTTTCAGAAGATAGATAATATTCTGTGGTACTGGTTGAATCCAAAGCATATTATTTCCGATGTTTAGATTGTGACTGCGGTTGCATGTATTGCACTGTCTGGCACCTTTAGTGTCTTTTGCAAGAGAAAACTCATTGTCTTAAACCCCAGAAATAAAGAAAATGACAACTTCCCCCAGAAAGCTGCCAATTTTGTACTAATGCTATACCGTTTTGAAGACACCGGCTCCATGGACACCTCTGATATGTGACCCAAGTATGATAATTCCCAGCATCACAGCGGCCAGTAATAAATACCTTCCTCTTTACACTTTACAAGCCAGATTCTTTGGCTCTGATGAGTTAACTAAAGGAAGTGATGTGCTGTGCTTTGTGTCTCAACTAACCTGGAATAATTTTGCTCTGTTCCCAAGTGATTGGTTTTAACAGCTCACATTTGCTTTAACAGGAGTAGAGTATAGAAAAATAAATATACCACTCTTTCTTCCCACATATGTACATACAGATAGTGACGCTAACTAGCAGTTCAATTGCAGTAAAATTTTAATGTAAAATTCAAAGTGATAGTAAAGGTTAAACATTGCAGTGTTTCTTGGATATATAAGACACATTCAGCAAAACAGCATTTTTGTGGCTCTATTACTCATGTCAAACAATAATGTCCTGCTGTGCCTGTTCCTTGCTGTTTCTTTTAAAACTCTGAAACACGTTCTGCTAAACACAGCAGAGGATACACTGACATGGCAAGCCTTCTTGCTTTCTTTCCAAGTGAAAAGTTGCAGACAGTGTTTATTTTTCTGTGGAACCTTCATGTGAAGAGCAGCACATACACACAGGCATGAGATTTTTTTTAGCAACATTAACTCTGAATGGATCAAACCCAACAATCTTCTATTCATAGTTTTCAGTGACAATATTTTAAGTTGATTTGAAATCAGCCTTTAATCTGGTCTAATATATTTGACAGATGCTGTGCACATCTTTGGTTTTTCTTTTCTTTTGGCCATTGAAAAAAAAGTTCTTGTGGTTTGCAGTACTGGTACTTTAGAACTGTGCAAATAATTTAGGTTTACTTCTCCCCCCACTCGGCAATATATTTCTATACAGAGAATGGGAAGAGGGGAAATGAGTTTCAGCTGGAGTAAAATCTTGGGGTTTAATGTGACTTAATACAGATACTTTTTTAACCTCTCATGTAATTAATTTCTTTTCCATTCTCATCCGAAAATATTTGCTGATTTTGATTCAGATTTATAAATGCCTTACTATCAGGCTTTGGGGGTGTTTATTTGTCTGAAGAATTTCACTAGGGTCTATGGCTAAATGTAGTAGAATTGAGGCTCAGTCAACTAGGATCATTTAAATACATTTGTGAAATAGACAGGGAAGTTGAAAGTCTTGAGGCTAAGAAATGCTCTTTCAGATACTTCAAGTGAAAAATAAAAGAGCTTGTGAAGTGCTCCATCTGAAACTCACCATCAGTTTACAGAAACAGACAGAGCAATGCCAACTTCACAGTACAAGCTGCTTTCCAGAGTAACTACCCTCCTTTGAGGAGTAATTAAAAGCACTCTAAGCACAGGGGGCAACAGTATAGGTCCTTGCTACCCGACATGGCTCTCTGTTACACGAAATAGAGGTTCTTCTGTGAAATCCCATGATGGGAACCATTTTGGCTCTGTTTCTCTGCCTGTGAAATGGCATTAATCCATTTTTCAAGGGTATGTGAACTTTTTAATGGGTTCTGAGATCTTCCTGTGGAGCTATCTGCTGCAATAGTCCAACTGCCTTTTTGCAGTTAGCCCTTTCCCTCCTTTGCAGTCATTATCCTCTCATCCCCAGGGTTCCTGTCGTGTCCAAAACTGGATTGCCTGCTCTTCTGGGAACACTTCATAAGCTTTTTACCATACAGACAGAAAGATGAGATCATTATTACCTTCAGTGACCTCATATTTATTTTCTTGCTTTGTCTTTCTTCTGCAAAGGTAAAAGTTTGGTTCCAGAACAGACGAATGAAGTGGAAGCGGGTAAAGGGGGGCCAACAAGGGGCAGCAGCCCGGGAGAAGGAACTGGTGAATGTGAAAAAGGGCACACTGCTCCCCTCCGAGCTCTCTGGCATTGGTGCAGCTGGTCTCCAGCACACGGGGGACTCACTAGCGAACGACGACAGCCACGACAGTGATCACAGCTCTGAGCACGCACACTTATGATACACAGAGGGTGTCCCAGCTTCGTTCTCAGGAAAGATGCTTTGCTGGCAAGCCTTATACAGGCATCGTTTACGTATGAAAGTGACTCTGGCAGTGATTTTTAAGTTGTTATGGAAAATTCAGGCTTATTGTGTCTGCTTTTCTTGATTTTTAGATGGTTTACAGTAAGTGCCATGTCTTAAAGGTGCCTCAAGAGTGAAGAAGTGGAAGATGAACTTACTTTGAACATTCCAGATTTGTTTGTCATGTTTATGACAGCGGGCAGGTATTTTTGCTTTAGCTTGCACTGAAAATTACATTGCTCTCAACAGACGTTATATTCTGAAAACCACAGTGCCACAAAATCAATATCTAGTGGATAAGAAATGTATTTTAACTCTGTATATATTTACCTTACAGCATTTTCCTGTCTTCACTAATTTTAGCAATGCATTCATATTAGCTGATGGCAATAGTCACTCATGACAATAAATGGCTTTTTGTCTCTTTATTTTTGTTTTGTTTTTCCAAAGACATACAATACATGCAGATACTTTTGTTCAAGTAGAGAACAAGACAATAGTGTCTGCTAGGACACGTCCTTGTATGACAGACAAAACAAACCTTATGTTGCATTTACTATCAACTGCTGCTAATAGGGTATTATTAAACTTACCTAGCTCCTCAATTCTTCTTATCTTATAACTGCAAAAATTGATTTTTAGGATCATAAGGATAGTCCAGTAACCTGCCAAAAAATGTCATGTTCCACTCATACTCAATGGAAACTTCCCAAAGATTATTCATTTCTACTTTGTCATAACTGACTACATTGATAAAGGCTGACACTCTGCAGAAATGTTGTCACTTCAACTTCAGTTTGAAAAAAAAAGTGGATAAGCTGAAAGTTATTATCAACTGCTTATGTTGGTAGAAGTCAAAATATGAAGGTAACAGTATTGTTTCCCATGTGTTAAATCAAGACACATTTTCTGTTATAAGCTTTTGTGTACATACAGGCAAATATCAAACCCCAAACTTTAATGCAAACCATTGATTGTACTTTGTAAAGAAATATGTTTAATAAATAATCCTTTTTAAATAATTCTGGTGTATCTACAGTGATTTCATAGGATACTTAAAGCATTTTTTGTAAAAGTCCTAAGCACCTCTGTCTTTTCTGGGTCTTTTGGAACTTAGTCTGTCTGTGGACAACACAAAGCTATGTTTTCAAATTTAGGCTTTTAATCTTGGATAAACCTTCTACCTTGATCCATTTGGGAAACTCTTTCCTTTAGCAGGAAAAAGGCATCTAGCAGCTAATGATGTCTTCAGCCAAAAAAAACAAGAGTCTGTTCAACTATTTTTCCTGATTTAGAGCAAATATAAAGGATTATTTTGTTGGACCTTATTGAAATGGATGAAAGGGAGTAAATATCAGGAAGGGATGCATACTTATATCAACAAGCCTTTGTTCAATAAAGCTGTTCAGGAGAAAAAACAAAGTATCTCAAAAAAATTTGGAGTTCCATTGGACTGGATAGTGTGATAGAAGGAGCTGAGTGAAAGAAGGAGTGGGCAAGAAATGTACATATCCTAGTAAATGCTTGTGAGCGTTCACAGAATCTGTGATATGTGGTACAACAGAGCATCATAAAAGTTGAATGTGAGCAAGAACTCTGTGTCTGTTTTCCAAAGTCTTTCCATTGCATATTTGATCTTTCTTGAACATTAATTGTTGTCATGTTCATTTTAGTTTAAAATATCCAAGCAATTGATTATTCATTTCTTTAAGACTCTCGAGCATTTTATTGATTGCAGCAGTTAAGGGGTTTTTGCGTTTGTTCCTCAGTTCTTTTCCAAATGCCTTTGTCACACAAAATTGCTGAGAATGGGAGTAGGATGGAGGAGTAAGCCAACTACTTGTGAATACTTAATATTTTTGATTTCCCGGCTAGATGGGAAATTTTTTTGGGAGTAGTGGTGATTATCATAGCAGGAAACAAAACCCCTAGTGATTCAGACTAAAGCTTTTTTATTCTTGCTGGTTTTTTCTCCCTCTTAAGTGAAGTATAACTAGATTTCAAAATGAAAAATTAGAATGAAAATTTTTTAAAAAGCATCTTGAATTTTAAAATAACACTTTTTAATAACAGAGATTTAGTCAAATATAATGTGATTTCTTTTGCCAGTGAAGAGGGAAGAGAAGATGATTGTCTTTCAAATACTCTGCCAAAAATGGCTTTTCAGGTTTGCAGGATTGTTTGTGCTATGTTTCATAAAAAGTTTTAGACTGAATCTGAAAAGGGATCGGCCAAGTTTGAGCTGACATTTTACAAAACAAGTGGAAGGGCTTTATTTACATTACCTGAAACACAACAGTAACATGTTCCTAGTCCAGTGCACTCTGAAAGGTGTATTATGTTGTTAGCAGCACTGTGATTTGACTGGGATACTTGAAGTCAGGGCACAGCTAATATGTGTGATGACAGCAATCTGTGATCCATAATAATGCCATTACCAGGAAAAAAATTTCAAATTGGGAAGGACAGTCTTTTTCCATTTCCTTTTTTTAACTGAATCTGTTGAGACTTAAAGCACAGGTTGCAGAGAGAGAAACATGTGCAAATAGATTGACAGTACTAGGATAATTGTTGTTTAGATAATTGAATGAATCTTCAAAGGACAAATTATGTAACTTTACATTACAGAAAAAAAATTTATCATCTCTCATGCTTTAAAAGCATCTCAGACATTGAATTTGGCTGTAAGGTGCTAACTGTATGTAACCTTTCAGGTTACTTAAAGACCTCTGGTGGCTTTAAACAACTATTTTATGGGTACACTATTGGTAAATGCAATATGGTGCAGGGATCCCACACTGGCAGAAATTGAAGCTATGAAGTTTAAGCACAGCAAGCTTCCTACCATGGTCTTGAAGGAATTACAAGCACAGCCCCACAGAAATACAGACATGCTTCTTCCATATTTCAGCTAGTTTATATTCAAGACACACTTAGCAGCAACGAATGCTCTGCATTTTAACTCCACTTTGTGGATTAGCAAGTCTGCTCAGGACTCCTCACTGCAGATGATGTCTCATCTTGTTCTGAATACCCCAATTACTCAAACCTGTCATATAAAAGCCCCAAATATCAATCACCTGCTGTAACATATTTTTACTTTGTATCAAAGTTTTAGCATAATTTTGTTGCTGAAAACAGCTATGGAGAAAGGCATTTTAACTATAACTTGGAGTTTTGTTTTATCTTCATTGGCTTATATCTGTATGCAGACTAACAGAAAGTTCTTCTACTGATCCAACAATATGGTATAGTGAAGACTTACACCATTTCAGAGATGGACAAAACCAAGCCCTAAGACTGTGATTTGCCCAAAGTTCTGCAGGCACTTGGTGGTAGAGTGAAATGTGATGGAACCTAGTTCGGTTTATTTATCTTTATTAGTTCCTTTTATTATTAGCAGCTAATAATTTTTCATGACTTACTGTCAATGAATCCTGCTCTGAGGACTAGTGATGTATTTTTTTTTGAGTTACAGTAATGTTGATACTGTATCTGTTCAGAGTCTACCTCTCTTTGATGATCTGTTGTTAGTGCATTGCTGAGCCAGACGCAGAAATGTGTGCTTTTAGGAAACATACATAGAAAATGGAGCTGACTGTACGAAGGAGAGTGATGTTTAACAGTGTAATTTTCAACATGATAGATTATAAGAATTCTTTCTTCTGTGATCTGGGGTACAAGCTATGTATTATTTGCAGGGTTTCTTTCTCTTCCCTTATGACTGTTGAGTTTTTATTTTGTGTTTTTGTTTACTATGACTTCATTGTTTTCAGATTTGGCAATAGCAGTGCAAGAGGTGTGGTTAAAATAACACCACTGCAAACTGACTGAATTTATTAAATCACAAATTGGAAGTAGTTTGGGAATTTAATTAAATGCTTATTTTTTTCTTGACTTTCTTTTCATCATCCAAAATTAGTCAAAAAGGAGAACAAGATGCAGAGACTTTATACCTATGTCTTTCCACCACAGGCCAAGTTTCAAGGTAGTTTATGTATCCTGCTTTCTTAAATGAAGACTCTGACTGCTGCAATAATATTATTTGTACAAATAAAGAAAGAAACAACATTAGGACGTGCACTCTTAGTAGCCATGAGGAAACACAGTTATATAAGTTAGGGACAAAATGTCAGCTGGAGCCTTCATTTAGAATTTCCTGGCTTCAGTCAGTTTATGTCTCTTGGGTGAGCTTGTATTTAATAGAGTACATGCAGTATTTAAGATCGGCTACAAGATTCAAGAAATTTTAAAGAGTAATGTTTAACCAATTATATGCTGTAACTTAATAACATTATGTACTGTGTGCAGTTTGACAGGGAGAATTCTGTACACAACCTGATGTCTATACTCATTTAAAAAAGGCAGTGTAGCCAATAGCCTGCAATAACTAGCATAAAGCTTCAGTGATGATGCATATTATTACCTCAAATTGGTAAGGACTTATTAGAGCTCATTAGCTTTTATCCATCTCTATTCATTTTCATTTCAAGCCCACAGTATTTTCATATTATTTACAGCTGAATGCTGCAGCGGAGGAATGAATTTCAATGCAATTTAAGGCCCCTGGCTAATCGCTAGTGCCACCATATAGCGTTATGAGAGCTTATCAGAGTCATCTGTACAAACTGCAAATGTATTAGAAGTTTCTCAGCTATTTTTTTACTTTGTGCATGCAGATTTGATAGCCATTGTCATTTTTCTGGCATCTGAACAGTCATGATTCCTATGTACGGAAATTTGGTCAAACTTTAATTTCATTCCTTTGAAAGCAATCACCTGGGCAGTACAGAAGCCCCAGACAGTAAATGAAGAGCTTGTAGTTGTAGTAGGAAAGAGTCATAGTTCCCTTTTTTGCAGTGCTTTTCCTTAGACAGACTCCAATGATTTTTTAAAGAATGCACAGTTTTGAAATATCTTTTAAAATGGATAAACAACAAGGGACTCAAGTAATTTGTACTGGTCACCTTGTATCATAGACCTGGTAAGCCTTTTGGGATGAAAATCAGTGCCCTACTAAATGTGCTGTCAGGACTTGTTTATGTTCTTTTTTTTTATCTTGTTTAGTCCTTGAATATGTTCTATGACAACCTCTTCCAACCCTCACAAACCTAACTCTGTCCTGTAACAGGATTCACACAACAAAAGTAAAGAAGTGGCTGTTCAAAGCAAAAGTGAAAGATATAGTTGAGATAAGGTATGTTATCCAAGGCCTAAAATAATAATTAAAATGACATTAGTTCTCTTCAGACAACTAATTGACTGCAATAAAGCATATTGTGACATCCCTGTTCTTTCCATAAATATTTTCATATTTTTGTGCACCAATGTGACAATTTTAGAATTTTTTACCTATTATGTTTATATCTATTAAGGCTATATATTTGAATTTAAATATCCAGTTCTGATGTCTAACAAAATAACATCACTAGTTCACAAATAGACTTCTCTCTCTCAAGGGAGACAAAATTTGGCCATAAGTACTTTTCTGCTAACATTTGGATTTTATTTGTACTTTTTGAAAATTCAGCATACATTAAGAGAAACCTTGTGAAATGTTATTTTACATTGGTGACCAGCAAGTTTCAGATTAATTCATCCTTTAAGTAATTAGCATAATAATCGATTTATGTAAGAACTTCATTGTTTTACAACCACATAGTAATACCATGGGTTTTGTGTTACAGAAGTGTGCTCCAAAAGCATATGAAGCAATGGACATGATAGTATCTATAAAAATGTTTTAGTGTTTAGGGACAGATTTTCATCCTTAGCATCACCATGAAAATATAGACACTGTACATGTGACTTAAGTGTGGTTATGGAATGCAAGGTTTTTAGAAGTATGCCTATTCTGAATGCTTACCACATTATTTGCTAAGAAAGTCACATGCACAGCTGAGAAAATACTGAAATGGGCATTTTCCCAATTTAAAAATTTATCTTGAAAAGTGGCCTTAGAAAAATTTTATGCAATCACCACAGAAATGCATTTAAGAGAGTAAAAACTACCAG